TTTATTTTTTTATTTTTAACAAGCAATATTATTTACACTAAAGGGGAGATGGTAGGTTTAGTCTTACTATGTGCTAGCAATAATTTGGTTCAAATTCGTCTTTGGCTAGAATCGAACCTAAGATCCCTCTCTTACAAATGAAGAGGAATACTACTAGACTGTAGTACTAAGTGAACAAATTAATTTGGGAGTTAAACATTGGGAAAGTCAGAAATAGTTCTTGGGTTTGTAGCCTGTATGAAAGAGTTTTTTTTTTTTTATTTTTTTTATTTTTAATTTTTTATTTAACTCTTTTTAAAATGACCTGGCTCAAAACGTTAAAAAAGAAATAGAATTAAAACCTCCTCTCCTTCCTCGTTTATAACCTCATACTTGCACATCCATGGTAAATGACCTATCCACCAACACCGCTCAGCCCATTGGAAGGTCCCCAATAGTCACTAAGAGGTGTTTCTCCCGAAATTTGGAAGGTCATGGGACCACTCGGGTCTCTGTGTTGATTCGCTTCTGCGTAGCACCATAGAATTTGAAATTAAACCCTAAACACTATCACCAACAAAACATGCCTAAACCCTTCACCATGAGATACAAAAAAAATTACAACTCAAAAACCCTAAACCCCTTGGCTCCCCCATGAAATTCCAGTTTGGCTTGCTTTCCGGAAACAACATTTTAGACCTTTTTTAAAATGATTTTATTATGTTGCAGGGTATGTGAGCAATTCATATTAAATTCTTGGTACTAGGTCTGGTATTACCATTTTTTTTTTTATCATTCGAGAAAGAAGATTCAAATTTAACACATTTCTACATCAGAAACATAATTCAAAGACTACAAATATTCCCAAAGAGAAACATTTCCATTCTAGAACAGAAGTACAACCATGATTGTGGCTAGTGAGGAAGGAATAGAAATATAATGGTGCTACCAAAAGATACTATAGTTTCAATAATTTTAAACAAATATCTAACTGTTACAAAGTATAAAACATCCACTATTTCAAATCGGAGCTTTTTAAAGTACTCCGGAGTACTGGATGCCAATTGGAGCTTTTTTAAATACTTCAAAATATAATGAAAATTGTGACCGTTAGATCTTTGTTTAACAATTAAAATAGGTACTCCAGAGCACCTGAAAACCCATGAACACCAACCTATATATACGACACGACGACACACCCCTTTACTCTTCCCTGTATGTCTACATGGCCACCAGAGTCTCACCCGAAGACGACGACGTATTCGTCTCAGTCTCCGAGCAACGCCACGAGTTCATGGAAGCCAAAGCCGTAGAGTCCGACATGGATCTCGCCTTCCACTTCCAACTCCAAGAAGCCCTTGCCGCCTTCCTTACCCTCCAACCCTCCTCTTCCTCTACCCAATCCCTGGAAAAAGACATCATTTCAATCATCCCTGACACTCCAACTGTCATCTCCATCCAGTCCGACAAACTCGCGAGGCTAGAGCTGATAACTACCAAGTCACCAACCTGAATCCGGTAGCTCAACCTCGACAAATTGCAGTAATTGAGGATAAGCGAAAGGAGGAAAAAAAGCATAGAAAGTGTGCTTGATATTTTTTTAATAATTTTCTTTTTCAAATAACCGTTACAAAAGCAAAGAAGCCATTACTTCATGGATTTGGATCCTCTTCTGAGATAATGGAAATGATCATCCTCATCAATCATCGTGGGCCGTTGGATTTTTATCTAACGGCTACAATCATTATAACTTTAAAGGGACCCCCCTGTTTGTAGCCGTTGGATAAAAATCCAACAGCCCACAATGATTGATGAAGAGGATCCTTTCCATTAGCTCAGGAGAGGATCCAGATCCTTACTCCATTTAAAGTGTCTGGGCCACAAGGTGCCAACTCAACATTCCACTAACAACTTTAACAAAATGACAAAACAAGCAAATAAAGGCTAAAAACCAAATTACTTAGTGATTAAGCATTCACTAATTCGAAGACCCCCAACATCACTCCCCCCATATGACAACCTTATCCTCATGGTTCAAGCTTGAAAACTGGAAACATAATCTTGAACTCATCGTAGTCTTCCCAAGTGGCGTTCTTAGCAACATCATCCAACCAGTGTATCAGTAATTGGACCCCAGCTGCTTCTCCCTTCTTATAAATCATTCGAGCCAATACTGCATGAGGCACTGAGTATGATAACCCACCTTCATTTACATCAGGTAACACAGGTGATGGTTGAACCAAATTTCTCAAGTGTTTCTTAAAGCAACTGACATGGAAGACTGGGTGAATTTTTGTTCCTTCAGGCAGTTTCAATTTATACGCTACTGTTCTAATTCTTTCACAATCTCATAGGGGTCATAAAACCTGGGTTTATGGAATGAGTGAGCATTCAGGGCTTGCAATTGGTAAGGGACAAGCCTAAGGTACACAAAATCCTCAACAGAGAACTCCATTTCAGACCTGTGCTTATTTGCCTGTATCCTCATCTTGTGTTGAGCTACTTCCAAGTTGCTCTTAAGACCAGACAAGATTTTATCCCTATCTTTCAAACATTGCTCCACTAAATCCAATCTGGTTGTACCAATCTCATAAGAAACCACCATAGGATGAGGGTATCCATACAACAGTTCAAATGGAGTAAACTTGGAGGATGAATGATATGAAATGTTATAATTCCATTCTACCCATGAGAGCCATTCCACCCATTTCTTAGGTTGAGTACTAGTAAAGCACCTGAGATAGGTTTCTAAGCATCGATTGAGCACCTCAGTTTGTCTATCACTCTGAGGGTGATAACCTGAACTCATGTAGAGTTAGTCCCTTGCAGCTTAAAGAAATCTTTCCAGAAATTGCTTAAGAATATGGGATCCCTATCACTTACAATGGTAAAAGTCATACCATAGAGTTTAAAAATGTGGTCCACAAAAACCTAAGCAATTGAGGCAGCAGTGACGGGATGTGACAAGGCTACAAAGTGAGCATACTTAGTGAACCTATCCACTACTACAAAGATCACTGACTTTCCTTTGCACAATGGTAACCCAACAATAAAATCCATGCTTATTTCATTCTAAATCTGTTGGGGAATAGGCAAGGGTTGAAATAGTCCAGGTGGTGATATTGTCTCGTACTTATTCTGTTGACATATTTGGCATTCTGCCACAAAAGCCTTGATATCCTTCTTGAGACCCTGCCAATAAAAACCATTTTTGATTATTTGATATATCTTTAGTACCCTATTGTGCCCTGCAACAGGATTGGAATGAAGTTCATTCATAATTTTTGCTTTCCATGGTGATGTAGGGCTAAGCACCATTCTTGACTTGTACTTAAGAAGGCCATTATCAACCTTGGATTTTGTGGTTATTATCATCAGTAGTAGGATAAGAAGAATTTGTCTTGAGGGATTGTATTTTAGACTGAATCCAGTCATCTTTCTCATTACTCCTTGTTAGATCATCTAACCACCTAAAGTAGGGGTAAGAAATATCTAGGTAGTTCATATTTGTACCTGGTTCTACTTCCACTCCATCATTTTGATTAGTTGGGTCTTAGAGCCTAGAAAGGGCATTAGTTATCAAATTCTTAGAACCCTTTCTATAATGGATCTCATAATCGAACCCAAACAACTTTAAGACCCATTTTTGCTGGAATGGGGTATTTGCTCTCTGACGCAAGAAGTACTTAAGGCTCTGTGATCTATCTTTATAATAAAATGTCTTCCTTGCAGGTAATTTTGCCATTTGTTTTATGACATGCACAATAGCAATTAACTCTTTCTCATAGATGGACAAGGCCTGATTTTTAGGTCCTAATGACTGATTAGTGAAAGTTATTGGCTTCCCTTGTTGTTGGAGCACTACACCAATACCAACATCAGATGCATCCAATGTTTTAAAAAACTAGCCTCAGGGCACGCCTAAGGCACCTTTGAGGCTAGGCAGTGAGGCTAACGCCTCTGTTTTGCTGGAGTGGGCGAAAGGCTTCGCCGGAGACGGGTAGGCGGCAGAGGTGCACCTTAAGGCGTCTCAAGCGCCTTGTTTGCCCTTTTTTTTAAGAAAAAAGATTTGGATCCTGTCACCAAGCACTTCTATTTGGTTTTTTGTAACCACAAATGCATAGGTTCAATTTATAGATTCAAACATCACTTGGGTGGTGTAAGTTCAGGAGGAATGATAAGTTGTAGAAAAATCCCACCTAATGTGAAGGAAGAATGCTTTGCTAATGTTATGAGAACTAAAGAAAAGAGGAAAGCTAGCCATGAGTTGTGTCGCGGTGGTGGAAAAGAAAGTGAAAGCGTAGATATGGGCACAACCAGGACACCATATGTAAGTAGTGGGAGTGGGAGTGTGAGTGTGAGTGCCACACATTCACAACAAACCGGTTCTTTCAAAGGGACCACTTGATAGGTATGTTATATCGGAAGCTCGTCAAACCACATTGAATACACCTTTCAAAAAAGAGGAAAGAAGACAAGCATTCTGAGCACTTGTGCGATGGTTTTACACTAGTGCCATTCCATTCAATGCGGCAAACAATGAATATTATGTTAATGCAATGAAATTGGTATCTAATTTTGGTCACGGCTTTGATGCTCCTACAAGCCATGAATATAGAACTTGGATGCTCAAAGAAGAAGTTGAGGATGTACAAAGTATGATGAAAGAACATCAAAAGGTTTGGAAGAGATATGGTTGCACTATTATGTCGAATGGTTGGTCGGATGGTAAAAGTAGGTGTTTAATCAACTTTCTTGTTAATAGCCCACAAGGTACTTGGTTCTTAAAATCGGTTGATGCGTCGGCCTCTATGAAGAATGGAGATTTGTTGTATGGCTATTTGGATGATGTTATTCAACAAATTGGGGAGGGGGGAGGGGGAGAATTTGGTTCAAGTTATATCCGACAATGCTTCGAACTACAAGAATGCGGGGCAAAACTTATGGAGAGGAAAAAAAAGGTGTGGTGGACTCCATGAACGGCTCATGTTATTGATTTGATGCTATAAGATATTTCTAAGATGACATGGTTTGATGATAGGCTCAAACGTGCTAGGTGTATTTCAAAGTATCTATATGGGCATCAATGGGTACTATCTTTGATGAGAAAATACACCAACAATTTAGAAATTCTTCGTCCTGTGGTCACTAGGTTTGCCACTTCTTTCCTTACACTACAAAGCTTACAAAAGCAAAAGGAAAATCTTGTTGCTTTGTTTACCTATCAAGAATGGTCGGAAAGTACCTATGCAAAATCCAATGAAGCAAAGTTGGGTAAGCATCATCTGTTACATGATCGTGAGTTTTGGGGTCGAGTTTCTTTTTGCATTAAGGGTGTTCTTCCTCTTGTTTGCGTTTTGAGAGAGGTTGATTTAGAGGAGAGACCCTCCATGGGTTTTATATATGAGTTGATGGATGCTGTAAAAGATAAAATTGTAAGCAATCTTAACAAAGTGGAGAAAAAATGTATGCCTATCTGGAGAAAGATAGATCGTAGATGGGACGATCAACTTCATCAACCACTACATGCAGCGGGTTATTACTTAAACCCACAATTTCGGTATGAGGATAATTTCTCAGATACTGATGAAGTGCGAAATGGGTTGTTTGCTTGCATGGATAGAATGCTTGGGAAAGGGAAAGAACGTGAAGATGCCGATGTTCAATTGGATTTATATAATGATAAGCGTGGTCCATTTGCATATTCTATGGCTATGCAAACTAGGAAAAAGCGAACACCAAGTAAGATTTAATTAGTCAACTGTTAATATCTTTTTATCATAACCCTTAAATTACTTACCTTACTAATATTGTTTTTTTTAGTGTCTTGGTGGGAGTGCTTTGGGCATAAAACACCCGAGTTAACAAAGTTTGCCATCCGAGTTCTAAGCCCTACTTGTAGTGCGTCAGGATGTGAGAGGAATTGGAGCACATTTTCCATGGTAAGTAAATATATTATTAGTATCTTAAGTGTCATTTTTTCTTAAGATGATTAGACTTGAATAATAGAATTGATTTATTTGTAAATTCATACAAAAAGAAGGAATAGGCTTGAACACAAAAGGCTTAATGCTTTTAGCCCATGTCAAGTACAATTTGGCTTTACAACAGAGAAGTAAGAAAAGGAGGGAGAAATATGATCTTATTGTTGTGGAAGAAATTGCCTCTGATGATGAATGGATAACGGAGATAGAAGATCTCGTTCTTCTCGAAGATCCTGCACGGCTTGAGGATAAGTTATTGTATAATGTTGAGGCCGTAAGGAATGTGCCACCCCTAGTTTATGAAGGTGGCTCATACATTCGAGAGCCTAGAGAGTCTTCTCCTCCTCCTTCTGCTCGTGAGCCTACTCATCCTCGCGAGCCTATTACATACAAAAGAAAATAGTGTAATGAAGCATCCTCAAGTCGAAGAAATGTGGAGTATGATTCGGAAGATTCTTTTGATGAATCGTTGACATACCCAACAAGTTCATCTAGAGTTGGCAATGAAGAGGATGATGTTGCCTTTTATTTAGATGAGAGGATTTGGATGAATGATTGATATCTTTATTTGTATTTTGATTTATATGAAGAGGACTTGGATGAATGATTGTTTTCTTCATTTGTATTTCCTTTTGAATGATGAATTTGGATGATATTACCTTTGAATGATGAATTTAGATGATATTATCTTTTGAATGACAATGAATTTGAATGAAAAATTGAAAATGGATGTTTATTTTACTTAGTATTATTTTCTATACAATTATATGTATAATATATATATAACATATATAAAATAAAATAAAAATTAATCTCCTCATGCCTAGGCCGGGCTTCGCCTCGGACGCCTCACCCACACCACACGCTTTTAATACATTGGATGCATCACACTCAATCTCAAATGTTAGAGAGAAATCAGGTAATCCCAATACCTGTGGAGATGACATAGTTTCTTTAAGAGTCTATAAGGCCTTGGTTGCTTCAGTTGTCCATATGAAATTGTCCTTCTTAGTGAGCTGGTGTAATGGATGGCAGATCTTGTCATACCCTGGAACAAATTTCCTATAGTACCCTGTGAGTCCTAAAAAAACCTCTAAGTGCAGACAATGGTGGGAATAGGCCAGTCCAAGATTGATTGAATTTTGGAGGGGTCAGCTTCTACCTCATTCCTTAAGACAATATGTCCCAAGTACTCAATTTTGTTTTGTCCAAATGCACATTTATGCTTTTTTATATAGAGATGATGCCGCTGTAATAAATTGAAAGTAACCTGCAAGTGATATATGTGATCCTCCCAAGACTTGCTATATATCAAAATGTCATCAAAGAACACTAAAATAAAGTGTCTCAGGTGAGGCTTAAAGATATCATTCATAAGGTTTTGAGCAAGTGCATTGGTTAAACCAAAAGGCGTTACAAGGAACTCATAGTGCCCCTTATGAGTCCTAAATGATGTTTTCTCTATGTCGGAGGGATGCATAAGTATTTGGTGGTCCCAAACCTGAGGTCTAGCTTAGAAAAATACTAAGCACCACTGAGTTCATCTAAGAGATCATCAATAAGGGGTATGGGGTACTTGTCTTTGATGGTGATGGAATTAAGTTCCATATAGTCCATGAAAAGCCTACAAGTTCTTTATTTTTTCTTGACTAAAAGAATTGGACAAGAGAAGGAACTGTGACTGGCCCTAATAAAGCCAGCATCTAGTAATTCTTGCACTGCCTTTTCAATTTTGATTTTTTGGAGAAGGCCATAATGATAGGGCCTGATATTGGTTGGTTTAGCACCAAGGACAAGAAAATTTTGATGGTCATGGGGCCTGGAAGGTGGCAATTGAGATGGCAAGGAAAAAAAATGGAAGAGAAGTGTCCCATTAAATCCTGCAAGTCCCTTAGCTAAGCTTGGTTGAGATCACAAGCTTATAATTTCTTGGACTCCAAGGAATATAAGAATAGCCCAAGATTATAGCTGTGCATTTCCTTGTCAATATGTTGCAGGGAAACCTCTTAAATCAAGGGTAAAGCTCCTTAATTGTGAACAAGTTTGTACTGCACATTATCTTTGTGGAATTCAAGTGTCATTAACTGAAAATCCCATAAGACTGGACTAATGGAAGATAGCCAGTGTACTCCCAAGACAATATCACAGCCCCCCAAGGGAATGACATATAGATCCACAGTACAAGTATATGCTGCAAGAGACAATGGTGTGCTAGGACAATACCATGAACCTCTAGTTTTCCCCCCATCTGCAATCATGACTTCAAAGGCAAAAGTGGTATAAGGTTTCCAACCCAGTTTTTGAAGTAATTGAGAATCAACAAAGTTGTGGGGTGCTGCCAGAATCAAGCAGAATTGTAACACTGTGTCCTTTAAGTAGCCTCTCCACTTTCATAGTGTGCATAGGTTGCTTAGCAGAGGTGCCATAAAAAGCACTCACTGAGCTCCATTAGGTTAAGGGTTAGTAGAAGGTCGTCTAGGCTAGTATCTACCTTCTTTTAGGGTTGTACAAGGTCAAGCATAAATAAATGTTTGGTATGGCATTTGTGCCCCCGATTCCACTTATCATCACAAAACCAACAATCCCCTATTTCATGTTTTTTTTCTTCTGAATTTCCTTAGGGGAAAGCCTCTTAATAGGGAAATTTAGTGCTTGATGCGGTGGTGGTGGAAGAGTAGGGGTAGTAGGGGATCGAAAAGTGGGAGTAGGTTTGGTATAACCAGATTTTAAAGCAACAAATTTAGCATCCAATTGAACATGTAAGGCAATAGCATCATGCACAATGTTACGGCGCAATAACTTGACATCATACATAAGTTCATGCTTAAGGCCACCAATAAAACAACTCTTAAGCAGAACTGGACCAAGATCAAAGGTGCGATTTGCCAATTGGTGAAATTCGAGTATATAGTCCTGCAGTGTACCTGACTGTCGAAGTTTAAAGAGAGCCTCAGCACTATCTTCGAAGTCACTGGGGCCAAATTGGTGGCAAAAGGCGCAAGTGAAGTCCTCTCGGTGAGGTGTAGATTGCAAATAGTCCTGGAGTATACCTAAATCCGGTAGCTCAACCTTAACAAGTTGCAGTAATGGAAGATAAGCAAAATGAAAGAGCACAAAAAATGTGCTTGATATTTTTTTTAATAATTTTCTGTTGCTTTTCAAAGGTGAATTATATATTTCATTATGAAAAAGTTACAAGAAAAAGAAGATCGCTCTTATAGAGGATCAAGAAGAAAAGCTACCAAAAAAGTAGACGAAACACAATCCCTAAGAAACTGCCCTTATACCCGTGGACAAGCAAAACAACTTAATTAAGTAAAGAATCTCCTACAAGCAAGAAGGTAGACCTATGAGGTAAGGGAAAAAACAAGGTATGGGAAGACAACATAGTAGGGTTGAGATCATCACTTTAGCCCATGACTTAGCTAAAGTGAGGATGACAACCCATCCTTGAGATCCTTAGAAATCACTTTGGGAAGCTAAATACCAACTCCTTGAATTAAGGAAGTTGACACCTTATCACAAGGAAACCGACCTCAACCATGCAAGAAACCCTAATATCTATTCGACAACTTCCAATACTCCCCCTCAAGCTGGATCCAGAAGGTTGATGGATCCAAGCTTGGATAGAAGCCGCTGAAACTGATGAGAAGCTAAGGGCTTTGTGAAAATGTCGGCCAATTGGTCGGAGCTTCTTGTGTAGTGTGTCTGAATTACTTGCGATTGCACCTATTCATGAACGTAATGGCAGTCAACTTCAATGTGTTTCATTCGTTCGTGAAACATGGGATTGGATGCTATATGCATGGCAGCTTGGTTGTCACAGAATAGGGACATAGGAAGGGTTTCAGGAAACCCTAAATCACACAAAAGACCTTTGAGCCAGATTAATTCACATGATGTTGAAGCCATTGCACGATACTCAGCTTTGGCACTGGATCTGGCGATGACAGTTTGCTTCTTACTTTTCTAAGTGACCAATTTCCACCAACAAAGGTGCAGTAACCACTAGTGGACTTGTGATCGATGGCATTGCCGGCCCAATCTGCATCGTAGTACCCCATGATGTGAGTGTAGTCGTTCTTTGTCATGAGAATACCATGACCAATAGACCTTTTCAAGTAACGTAAGATTTTCTTTACAAGGTTCAAATGCTCGATGGTGGGAGTGTGCATGAATTGACTGACAATACTTACTGCATATGAGATATCTGGTCTGGTGATCGTTAGGTAGATCAACTTACCAACAAGCCTCTGATAGGAGCTGATATTCGAGAGTGGAGTGCCTCCCAAGTTAAGTTTGAGCTTGCTATCGAGAGGAGTAATGGTAGGCTTAACATCACTTATATTAGCATCCTTGAGGAGATCCATGACATATTTCCGTTGATTAAGAAATAAACCCTTATGAGAAGATGCCATTTCGATCCCAAGGAAATATTTCAACACCCCAAGGTCTTTAATCCCAAATCTTTGTTGAAGTGACTGTTTGAGTTTGGAGATCTCTGCAGCATTATCACCAGTAATTATTAAGTCATCCACATATATCAACACAACTAATTTTCCACCAGCTCCAGTGCGAACAAATAATGACGAATCGGCACCACTCCTTTTGAAACCAACACTATGAAAAACTGAACTTAGTTTAGCATACCAAGCACGAGGTGATTGCTTCAGTCCATAAATAGACTTATGTAACTTACACACCGAATCAGGGTCCTGACTTTGAGGATATCCGGGGGGCAATCGCATGGAGACTTCTTCTTCGAGATCACCATGTAGAAAGGCGTTTTTCACGTCCATTTGATACATAGACCAACCCTTATTGACAACAACAGAAAATAACACCCTAACTAAGTTCATTTTTGCAACAGGCGCGAATGTTTCTTTGTAGTCCACCTCAAATGTTTGAGTGAATCCGCGAGCCACTAGCCTGGCTTTGTGCCTCTCAATTGAACCATCTGAATTAAACTTGATCTTATAAATCCATTTGCAACCCACTGCCCTTTTTCCTTTTGGAAGTTTGGTGATGATCCAGGTGTTGTGTTGGTCTAGAGCTTTGAGTTCATCTCTCATTGCTTCTTGCCACACATCATGATTATTAGCCTCATGGAAGTTTTGAGGCTCACTGTGATTGGAGATGGTGTTAAGAAAAGCAGCATGTGATGGAGTCACCTTTCGATACGACACATAATTTGATATTGGATGCCTCAGTTTATATATGTCAAAGTCTTGAAACCTTGTGGGAGGCTGCCTATCACGCCGAGGATTACGTCGAGGTTCTGGGAGAGTTGGCTCACTCTCGTTCAAATTTTCAGCCACACTTTGAAGGTTTTCTTGGTTATAGCTGTCATCATCGTGCATGCAACCATCAGGGTGAGGGCCTTCATGGTTATCTTCATTGAGA